GCTTTTGTTGCATGTTTTAAATGTTTTGGCACGGTTAGAGCCTTCTGCAAACAAAATGTGTCATTTTGACCATGAGTGCCACTGTTTCAGCCTGTGTGTTAACTGTTTTGAAAATGTGGAGTTTGAGTTGACTGCTGCATCAAAGCAATCAAGAAAAACTGTAATAATCATATGCTTAAACAGACTTATTGAACCTGTTGTGAGGTCACAGTGACCTTTGACCTTTGACTACCAAACACTAATCAGTTCACTGTTGAATCTAAGTGGATTCCTGAGATATAAAATCATTGATTCAGACACGAGATCACAGACGGGCAGGTCTGAAATTCACTCTAATTATGTGTTAAAGTGTCTGATCAATTCAAAGATCAATACTGTGTGGTGATAGACTGTCAATCACATCTGAGACGTGATGGAAGAATAACTGATGCTGACACATGTTTATAGATCAGTGATCAGCAAAGATACCAAATATTCTAAAATAGGAGCTCAAACAGGAAACAATGATCAATCAATGACTTTATAGAATAAAGGACAGTGCAAGTCAGTAGAGGACAGTAGAAAACATTAGGAGGATAGTAAAGGTCAGTAGAAGACAGCACAAGACAGTAGAGGTCTCTAGAAGAAATTAGACAACAGTGGAGGTCAGTAGAAGACAGTAAAAGACAGTAGAGGTCAGTAGAGGTCAGTGGAGGTCAGTAGAGGACAGTAGACGACCGTAGAGGACAGTAGCGGTCAGTAGAAGATAGTAGAAGACAGTGGAGGACAGTAGAAGACAGTAGACGTCTCTAGAACACATTAGAGAACATTGGAAGTCAGTAGAAGACAGTATAGGACAATATAAGGCAGTATAGGTCAGTAGAAGATAGTAGAAGACATTAGAGGACAGTAGATGCCTCTCACTCCACTCTAAGTTTAGGCTGTCTGTGGACGTGCTACGGTAAGCGTACTGACTAATTTCCGGTTCACTTCCTGCTCTGTGTACACTGTTTGGTGCTGTAGCTCTGTCAGTGAACGCTAAATCTGAATTAGTTTTACTCGTTACAGCGGTTATTTTCCCGCTAAACATTTAACTAGTTCTACCTAAACACTCGGAGTTACTCCTTCTTTTAGCGACTTTTCGCTATTTTCAAAGTTTTTCATACACATTAGCATTAGCAGTTAGCTATGGCTTCTCCCTCTCCCTCTCCTCTGTCCTGCTCAGTGTGTCAGATGTTCAGTTATTCCTCTGCCTCCTTTAATGATAATGGTACATGTATTAAGTGTAGTTTATTTACTGCACTGGAGGCGAGGCTTAGTGAGTTAGAGGAACGGCACCGCACCACAGAGATATCTTTATCTTTATTTATTAAGCTATAGTTAGCCAGCCCCCAGTAGCCGGAGCGGTCCGACCGAAGGTAGCTTCTGCTAGCCGTCCACCGGTAGTTCCTCCGGTAGTTCCCCCGGTAGTTCCCGAGCAGCCGGGAAGACAGGGAGGCTGGGTGACTGAGCGAAGGAAGACTAAAACACCGAAGCCCACAGCTCACCACCAACCCATTCATGTTTCTAATACATTTTCCCCACTCAGCGACACACCCGCTGAGGAACCAACTCTGGTTATTGGCAGCTCCATAGTCAGAAACGTGAAGTTAGCGAAGCCAGCGGCCATAGTTAAATGTATCCCTGGGGCCAGAGCGGGCGACATTGAATCATATTTAAAACTGCTGGCTAAAGATAAACGTAAATATAGTAAGATTGTTATCCACGTCGGTGTTAATGACACCCGTTTACACCAATCGGAGGTCACTAAGATTAATGTAGAGTCGGTGTGTAATTATGCTAAAACAATGTCGGACTCCGTAGCTTTCTCTGGACCCCTCCCCAATGTGACCAGTTATGACATGTATAGCCGCATGTCGTCATTCCACCGCTGGCTGTCGAGGTGGTGTCCAGCAAACGATGTGGGCTTCATTGATAACTGGAAGCCTTTTTGGGGAAAACCTGGTCTGATTAGGAGAGACGGCATCCATCCCACTTTGGATGGAGCGGCTCTCTTATCTAGAAATATGGCGAAGTTTATCTCTAAAACCTGACAGTCCAGAGTTAGGACCAGGAAGCAGAGCTGCTGTCTTACACACTTCTCTGCGCTTTCTTTAGAACAGTCACCCACCCAAAACCCCATAGAGACTGTGTCTGTCCCCCGACCACCTAAATTATTTAGAGAAATAAAAACAAGAGGAGTTCAACATAAAAATCTAATAAAAATGAAAACCAACTCCTCAGTAGCACAAAATAAGAGAATGAAATGTGGACTGTTAAATATCAGGTCTCTGTCCTCTAAAGCTGTTTTAGTGAATTAATTAATATCAGATTATGATATTGATTTACTTTGTCTTACTGAGACCTGGTTGTCCCACGAGGAGTATGCCTAAATGAATCCACCCCCCCACCCCAGTAATATTAATACTCACATTCCTCGAGGCACTGGCCGAGGAGGTGGAGTAGCAGCCATACATGATTTGAGCGTTTTAATGGACCCTAAACCTAAACTAAATTATAATTCATTTGAAAGCCTTGTTCTTAGTCTTTCTCACCCAAACTGGAAAACACTGCAGCCAGTTCTATTTGTTATAGTGTACCGCGCTCCTGGACCGTACTCTGATTTTATATCTGAATTCTCAGAGTTTTTATCAAGTTTAGTCCTTAAATCGGATAAAGTAATTATTGTAGGTGATTTTAATATTCATGTGGATGTTAACAATGACAGCCTTAGAAACGCATTTATATCATTAATAGACTCAATTGGCTTCTGTCAGAGTGTAAATAAACCAACTCATTGTTTTAATCACACTCTTGACCTTGTTCTATCATATGGCATTGATATTGAACATTTAATAGTCTTCCCACATAATCCTTTCCTATCTGACCATTATTTAATTACTTTTGAATTCATACTATTAGATTATAAGCCATTAGGCAAAACTTCCTACAGCAGATGTCTATCTGACAGTGCTGTAGCTAAATTTAAGGAGGAGATAGGAGACTAGCAACGTGGTACAACCACAAAACCCTCCAGTTAAAACAAATAGCTAGGAAATCTGAAAGGAAATGGCGCTCTTCCAAATTATCAGAATATCGCTCAATTTGGCATAATAATCTTAAAACTTATAGAAAGGCCCTCCGTAATGCCAGAGGAGCCTATTACTCAGCACTAATAGAAGAAAATAAGAATAACCCTAGGTTCCTCTTCAGCACTGTAGCCAGGCTGACAGAGAGTCACAGCTCTATTGAGCCACATATCCCCATAAACTTAAGTAGCAACGACTTTATGAGCTTCTTCCACAATAAAATTATTACTATTAGAGAGAAAATTAATCACCAACTGCCATCAACAGTTATCAGTGGCTCTCCAAGTTCAGGGACTTTTGCTAATGTAAACTTAGATATATATTTAGACTGTTTTTCTGCTATCAATCTTCATCAGTTAACTTCAATCATTTCTTCATCGAAGCCATCAACCTGTCTGTTAGACCCGATCCCAACTACGCTGCTTAAAGAAGTTGTTCCCTTAATTGGCACTTCTTAACTGGATATGATTAATCTTTCTTCATTATCAGGATATGTACCACAGTCCTTTAAAGTAGCTGTAATTAAACCCCTTCTTAAAAAGCCCACTCTTGACCCAGGGGTTTCAGCCAACTATAGACCAATCTCTAACCTCCCCTTCCTCTCTAAGATTCTAGAGAAAGTAGTCGCCAAAGAGTTGTGTGACTTTATTCAGTCAGGATTTAGAGTTCATCATAGCACAGAGACAGCTCTCGTTAAAGTTAATATTGACCTTCTGATTGCTTCTGACAATGGACTTGTCTCTGTACTTGTATTATTAGATCTTAGTGCTGCATTTGACACCACTGACCATGATATTCTTTTACAGAGACTTGAGCATCAAATTGGCATTAAAGGAACCGCACTAAGCTGGTTTAAGTCATATTTATCAGATCGTTCGCAGTTTGTACATTTTAACGATGAATCTTCAATAAATAATACAGTTAGTCATGGAGGTCCACAAGGTTCTGTACTTGGACCAATACTATTTACTCTATATATGCTCCCTTTAGGCAACATTATTAGGAATCACTCCATTAACTTTCACTGTTATGCAGATGATACGCAGTTATATGTATCGATCAAGCCCGATGAAATTAATCAATTATCTAAATTACAAACATGTCTTAAGGACATAAAATCCTGGATGAGCTGCAATTTTCTGATGTTAAACTCTTTAACATCTATTTTTAAAGAACTTAAAAATTCTTGTTCTTGGCCCCAAAAACCTTAGAGACTCACTGTCTAAAGATATAGTTACTCTAGATGGCATTAACTTGGCCTCTAGCACCACTGTCAGGAATCTTGGAGTTATCTTTGATCAGGATTTGTCTTTTAACTCCCACATGAAGCAGACCTCTAGGACAGCCTTCTTTACGTAATATTACAAAAATTAGACACATACTATCACAGACAGATGCAGAAAAACTAATCCATGCATTTGTTACTTCAAGGCTGGATTACTGCAACTCTTTATTATCAGGTTGCCCCAATAAGTCCATTAAAACGCTCCAATTAATTCAGAACGCTGCAGCACGAGTACTGACAGGAACTAGAAAAAGAGATCACATCTCTCCTGTACTAGCTTCTCTGCACTGGCTCCCTGTAAAATGTAGAATAGAATTTAAAATCCTCCTCCTCATCTATAAAGCTCTTCATGGTCAGGCCCCTTCATATCTTAAAGAGCTCATAGTACCCTATTACCCCACTAGAACACTACGTTCTCTGAATGCTGGGCTACTTGTGGTTCCTATAGTCTCTAAAAGTAGAACAGGAGCCAGAGCCTTCAGTTACCAAGCTCCTCTCCTGTGGAACCAGCTTCTAGTTGTGGTTCGGGAGGCAGACACCCTCACCACATTCAAGAGTAGGCTTAAGACATTCCTTTTTGATAAAGCTTATAGTTAGGGCTGGATCAGGTGAGTCCTGAACCATCCCTTAGTTATGCTGCTAAAGGCCTAGACTATCGGGGGATTTCCCATGGTGCACTGAGCTCCTCTCTTCCTCTCTCTTTCTGCACTCATTCATGTTCCATTAATGCATGTTACTAACTTCACTTCTTCCCCGGAGTTCTTGTGCTTTCTCGTCTCGCAGGTTCTTGTCGATCCTGGTGGAGCCTCCTGCCATGGTCCTGCTAGATTGCCATTACCAATACTGTTGTTGCTGTGCACCTGTCTGTCTGTCTGTCTCTCTCTCTCTCTCTCTCTCTCTGTCTCTCTCTGTCTCTCTCTCTCACCCCAACTGGATCGAGGCAGACGACCACCCACCTAGAGCCGAAGGATCTGTCCTAGGTTTCTGCCTTTTAACAGGCAGTTTTTCCTTGCCCTTGTCGCCAAGTGCTTGCTCATGGTGGTACTGTTGGGTCTCTGTAAATAATGTTTTAAAGAGTTCGGTCTAGACCTGCTCTATTTGAAAAGTGTCCTGAGATAACTTCTGTTATGAATTGGCGCTATACAAATAAAATAAAATTGAATTGAATAGAATAGAATAGAGGTCAGTTGAAGACAGTAAAGGACAGTAGAGGTCAGTAAAAGACAGTAGAGGTCAGTAAAAGACATTAGGAGGACAGTAAAGGTCAGTAGAAGACAGTACAAGACAGTAGAGGTCTCTAGAAGACATTAGACAACAGTGGAGGTCAGTAGAAGACAGTAGAGGTCTTTAGAAGAAATTAGAGAACAGTAGAGTTGTGTGTCTGTGCAGTCTCAGTATTTGCTGTTATATGTTATGTGGAGCTGGCGCTCTGCAGCACCTCGACTCTGGTTTGTTCCCTCGAGTGCTGAATCATCACAACGGCAGCGTCCAGGTAGAGAAATGACTCGCAGCTGTTTCACTGGAAGCTTCTGTTACTGTTGGCCTCAATTTTCTCTCCACGTTCCTCGCTCATGTACAGTAACGTTACCTGAGCAACCTGTGGACGGACAGCGATATTCTGAAGTCCACCTTATTGGTGAAAAGGCTTCAGTGTTGGAGATCAATAACTGTTTATTATTGTGTGTCTGCAGTGGGACATTCATTCTACTACGGATTCTCCTTTTTATTCAGGATCTACATAAGAATTGTTGTGTGAGATTGTGATTACCGTTGGTTGTGGACGTTGTCCATACATCGATCAATCAATCAGTATTATTGGCTGATAATCACAAATATTTGGGGTTTTTGTTGCCTGTGTAATGTTGTTTTTATCATTTCTTGTGAACTCTTGGATCAGTCTCATTACGCAGCGATATGAATATATCTGTGTATAAAACTGATGTTTATTCTTTATTTCCTCACTGTTCATTTTTCTGGAATTGGCTGACAACTAAAATATTCTTTAAGAAAAGTTATTATTTTAAGAACGCAGCCTTCTGAGTCCAGTTCAAATGTTCACCGACCAATAATCTGTTCCCTCTAAAGTCTGGATGTGGCTAAGAGGAAGAGTGGCTGTGAGAACAGCGATGGCGACGAGGTGTTGGGGGGACAGTTGTCTCTGAGTCCTGGTTTTAGAGCTGAGGAAGCTGCTCTGTGTCCATTAGCATAACGTGAAAGATGCAGGGTTGGTCCCCGGGGTCTTGTTTCTTTGAGATGGAGGAAGCATTACGAGCATCCATCTGTAACAGGAGCGTCAGAGACAGAAGGTCACTGACAGACAGAAAACAGCCACAATGTCCTTTTTCTGTCTTTTTAATGTATTATTAATGCGTGCCGCCCCATAAATACCTGCCCTCTGTAGACTGTTTGACATGGTGGCTGGAGGATGGTGAAGTGCGGGTTTTCTCATTAGCGTGGGTGGAGGGATAGAGTTTCCTCTGTGAGAGGGCGGATGTTCGCATTAAAGGTGCTTATGGTAATTGAATCCTAATACTGATTCAGTGGAGAGCAGTTCACACACAATGCGGCTGCGTTCAATGATACGCTTCATATTCTCTTACAGAGAAATGTATGTAAATCACCAAATATCAAAGGAAGCTCTGCTTACTGCAGCTCTTCCTACAGTCTGATGCCTTTGTATGACCTACATAAACATTCCTATACTTATTATTAATGTCTGCCACCAGGATCCGCCAGGACCCACCAGGACCCACACAATGAAAGTTCCTTATAGGGGCTTGAAATCAGAAACAAATGCCAACTAACATTAATCCAATGAGTTAGCGAGTCGGCTAAAACAGATAAAATACAACATTCAAACTGTGTTGATGCGACTTTAGGATCCGTTGAAGTGAGGGGAAGCAGCTCATCAATTTAGGATGTAAGTAGGTTCTGATTGAAATCAGCAGGTCAGTAATGAACCGTTCACTGAGACAGAAACAGACCACACAGACTGCAGAACCTTTATCAGGGAAAACATGTTCCATTCATTAATTAAGACAATAATCTATCGATAAGGAATTATTCATTGTGGCTGTGAGAATATTATATTATTATAATACAGTGGAAACACTAACACAGACGGTTCTGGTGAGTTTTATTCTGTTTCTGTCCACTTTAATGAAGTTACGATGATCTGAAGGTAAAATGAGTGTTTTTGTCTCTGGAGTCTGGTGGAGAGTGATAGTGATATTACGGCTGTTTGTGGTTAAACTAAAGGTCTATCTCTGTAGGGATCCTTTCCATAATGCTGTCAGACACTGACAATAACAACCTGAGTCTGTCAGTGGCAGAAACAACAACAACTGTTAGTGGAACAAACAACAACTACTGTTAGTGGAAGAAACAACAACTACTGTTAGTGGAACAAACAACTACTACTGTTAGTGGAACAAACAACTACTACTGTTAGTGGAACAAACAACTACTACTGTTAGTGGAACAAACAACTACTACTGTTAGTGGAACAAACAACAACTACTGTTAGTGGAACAAACAACTACTGTTAGTGGAACAAACAACAACTGCTGTTAGTGGAACAAACGACTACTGTTGGTGGAAAACAAACAACAACTGCTGTTAGTGGAACAAACAACAACTGCTGTTAGTGGAACAAACAACAACTACTGTTAGTGGAACAAACGACTACTGTTAGTGGAACAAACAACAACTACTGTTAGTGGAACAACTGCTGTTAGTGGAACAAACAACAACTACTGTTAGTGGAACAAACGACTACTGTTAGTGGAACAAACAACAACTACTGTTAGTGGAACAACTGCTGTTAGTGGAACAAACAACAACTACTGTTATTGGAACAAACGACTACTGTTAGTGGAACAAACAACAACTACTGTTAGTGGAACAACTGCTGTTAGTGGAACAAACAACAACTACTGTTAGTGGAACAAACAACAACTACTGTTAGTGGAACAAACAACAACTGCTGTTAGTGGAACAAACAACAACTACTGTTAGTGGAACAAACAACAACTGCTGTTAGTGGAACAAACAACAACTACTGTAAGTGGAACAAACAACAACTACTGTTAGTGGAACAAACAACAACTGCTGTTAGTGGAACAAACGACTACTGTTAGTGGAACAAACAACAACTACTGTTAGTGGAACAACTGCTGTTAGTGGAACAAACAACAACTACTGTTAGTGGAACAAACAACAACTGCTGTTAGTGGAACAAACGACTACTACTGTTAGTGGAACAAACGACTACTGTTAGTGGAACAAACAACAACTGCTGTTAGTGGAACAAACAACAACTGCTGTTAGTGGAACAAACAACAACTGCTGTTAGTGGAACAATCAACAACTACTGCTGGTAGGACCAAACAACAACTACTGTTAGTGGAACAAACAACAACTACTGTTAGTGGAACAAACAGCAACTGCTGTTAGTGGAACAAACAACAACTACTGTTAGTGGAACAAACAACAACTACTGTCAGTGGAACAAACAACAACTACTGTCAGTGGAACAAACAACCACTACTGTTAGTGGAACAAACAACAACTACTGTCAGTGGAACAAACAACAACTACTGTTAGTGGAATAAACAACAACTGCTGTTAGTGGAACAACTGCTGTTAGTGGAACAACAACTGTTAGTGGAACAAACAACAACTGCTGTTAGTGGAACAAACAACAACTACTGTTAGTGGAACAAACAACAACTACTGTTAGTGGAACAAACAACAACTGCTGTTAGTGGAACAACTACTGTTAGTGGAACAAACAACAACTACTGTTAGTGGAACAAACAACAACTGCTGTTAGTGGAACAACTGCTGTTAGTGGAACAAACAACAACTACTGTTAGTGGAACAAACAACAACTACTGTTAGTGGAACAAACAACAACTACTGTTAGTGGAACAAACAACAACTGCTGTTAGTGGAACAACTACTGTTAGTGGAACAAACAACAACTACTGTTAGTGGAACAAACAACAACTACTGTTAGTGGAGCTCAGACACAGTTACCACTAATAAATAATGAAAATAAATGAAGAATAACAACTTTTACAAACTGAAACAAATGGACATCTTGATAGAAGGAAAACTGTTTAAAATAAAGTATGACACTAAAGTTCAGAGTCCACACAGACTGTTAATAACTCATCAATAATCAATTATCAATATCAGTATCACATACTCACTGCCAAGTGTCTTATGTTCTGTTTTAAAGTAATTAGGATGGAAGTGAACATAAAGGCAGCCCGAGATGCTGGATCAACCATGGATGTCTCTGCTATCAGGAACCAACTGGACCAACTGGACCGTAACAAAGAGGAAGACGAGGAGGACTCAGGAATACGAGGCTGTTATCAACCTGAACCAGACAGACCAGGAAGCTGCTCTTAGACCGCTGCTCCAGACTCTGTTGGAACCTGTTAACTTCCTGTCTCTCCCCCGTCCCCATTGGCCCAGAGAGTGTGAGGTCATCGTTCTGGTTCTAGCAGCTAATTTTGGACCGTTCGGAATAAATTGGTTCAGATCAGCGAGTGGAAGAGCGAACCCTGGAGAGATCAAGCAAGGTTATCCTGGAGCTCGCTGGAGGCTGTTTATAGGAGGTGGGTTCCTTACATCATTGTTCCTCTGTAATTAATGAATGTAAATGTCTAAAGACTGGTTCAATCTTTGGTCCTTAAACAAACCTCCAACACCACAAAATTAAGCATAGCGTTAGTTCAGGCAGGCCACAAAGTCAGGCTCCTCTACAAGCCGTTTTGCAACCCACCTCCACCCCAGCTCCTCCGTTTTATGTTGTATCTAATTAATCAGTGTCATTTTCTGATTGCCATTGATGCTTCCTCTGTTCTGTACCCTGGGGGGTCTCTGCTGCCGCTCTCCTTGTCTTAAACTTTTCCATGTATGTACGTGGAAGGGCAAGGAGGTCCCAGAACAGAGCCATAACCCCAAATGTAATATTCTGCTTTAGAATAAAAGTTCTTTTGACAACAGTGGTCCTGACTGAAATGTGTTTGTTTGAGCCTCGTTAAGAACTGATCAAATAAACTGCAGCGTGAGGAGGTTGGCAAACATTTTGTCTTTAATAACTTTATTTTAATGTAACTCTTAATGTCAGTGTTAGTGTGTGTGTGAGAGAGAGAGTGTGTGTGTGTGTGTGTGTGTGTGTGTGTGTGTGTGTGAGAGAGAGTGTGTGTGAGTGAGAGAGTGTGTGTGTGTGTGTGTGTTCGGTCTATTTTTAGCTGTGAGGAGAAATAATTCAGTACGATCACAGAGCAGCTCCTTCACCTCCTCCCTGACAGAGGAGAGCAACCAGCTGATGGATCCTCCTCTCCCCTCCTCCTCCCCCCTCCTCCTCTTCCTCTTCAGCCACACAACAAAAAACAACAGCAACATCCAGCAGCTGAGCTTTCAGGTGAATCATTATTTTAACAGCAGACAGGGGGAGACGGGTGGAGACAGGTGGAGACAGGATGAGACAGGTGGAGACAGGATGAGACAGGTGGAGACAGGATGAGACAGGTGGAGACAGGATGAGACAGGTGGAGATGGGTGGAGATGGGATGAGACAGATGGAGACAGATAAAGACGGGTGGAGACAGATAGAGATGGGTGGAGCCGTCACATCCAGCACGTGTGAACAGACTGAACTTCTGAATCCAAACAAACCTTTTTCCTTCCTTGTACAGAGACATTAAAGTCTGTTCACCAAACTCAGATTTCTGCCTATAGAATATATAATATATATTATATAATATTCTGCCTTTATTCAGTGTCACTGCGGCAGTTTGAGCCCGAAACAACCGGAAGTTTCTGTGATTTAATGTAAATAAAGTGATCAACAGGATGCTGAAATACAAACATCATCATGGAGGTTATAAAAAGTCTGAATTCAGACTCACACAGGTCTTTACTTTACTATGAAACTGAGTTATTATAGCACTGATCAACCAAACTCAGTTCAGAAAACAAGCATTTTAAAAGTTGTTTAAATTGAATTCAGACTGTTTATAAATCTCCATCATGATATTATTATTATTATTATTATTATTTCAGTTTATTGACATTAAATCACAGATTACTAATAATTATTTTGGCCACAGTGAGACAGAATAAAGTCTCCATCCTTTAAATATAACTTAGTAATTAACTTAATCTAATGTATTGAACCTATAACAGAATACTGGTGCAGTAACTCTCACAGCAAGAAAATATATAAAATAACTTTAAAATAATACACAAATATTCAGAAAAACTCAACAAAATTAAACCAGTTTTATCATCTTTTTGTCTTCAAATTCAATAAAATAAAATAAAGTATATTCTGTGCTTATAAAACAATATCAAACACACTGTTTAACCGTTCATAGGAACCGTGAAGACACCGACTGTAGACCTGATGATTGCCCGGGTTCACTCACCTGTGCTGGGGGACCCGCATGGACTCAGTCGGTGGAGTTCACCGGTCCGCTGGAAAGTGCTCTGCTCCCGGGTTCCGTTGAGCTCCGCTGCCGGGGAAGAAAGGAACAATACCGGCTGCCAACCGGAGACAGGAGGGCCGACCGCGCGCCGTTAAACTGCTGTCTCTTTGGTGAAATGTCCCGGGAGTGATGAACGGGAGCAACCGGGAGGGAAAACGCCCAAACTTGCGGTCGGAGAGCAGAAGTGTTTCCCGCTGAACGGGCGAGGCGAGCGGATAAGATGGCGTCAAGTTCCTGGTAAAGAAGCAGGACGATACCGGATGTGTCACCTTCACAATAAAAACCCGGAATTCTGTTCTATATTTTAAAACGATCTGAAAGAGAAGACTCTGTTTACTCTCTATATCGATATTAATCAGTTTCCTTTAATTGGATCACAGACAGAAGATGGAATATATATGATATATATATATATTCTATTGTATTTGCTTATTTTTCTTCCTTTTATGATATTTATACCTTTTATTAATTGTTAGTACTTGATCATTTTCATCATGATTGTACTTAATAAGTCTTAAACTGCACTTTTATTGGAAGTTATAATTCTTATTAAATAAAAATAAACATATATAAATAATATTAAGTTATTATGTTATAATCTTCTTCATCTTCATCTCCCACAGCCCCCTGCCACCTCCTGCAGCAGACACCTCTCTGCATCACCTTTGTCATCCCCACCCCCAAACCTACTGCTGACACCTATCGCAGACCCTGCCACCCCCCAATCTGGACTTCACATCATCAGGTGAGGAGAGAGCTGGAGAGGCTCAAACAGAGGAAAGCTGCTGGACCGGACCGCATCAGCCCTCGAGTGCTGAAGGCATGTTCAAGCCAGCTCTGTGGAGTTTTCCAGCACCTCTTCAACCTCAGTCTGCACCTTCAGAGAGTGCCAGTGCTCTGGAAAACATCCTGCCTGGTCCCAGTGCCCAAAAAAGGACGTCCTGTGGCACTGGAGGACTACAGGACGGTAGCACTGACCTCTCACATCATGAAGGTCATGGAGAGACTGGTCCTGGCACACCTCAGACCACTAATGTGCGCATCGCAAAGACCCCCTGCAGTTCGCATATCAGCCCCATGTTGGGGTTGATGATGCCCTGATCTACCTGCTGCAGAAGGCTTACTCCTCCCTGGACAGACCCAACACCTCAGTCCACGTCATGTTCTTTGATTTTTCCAGCGCCTTCAACACCATCCAGCCCAGACTGCTGAAGGCCAAACTGGAGAACATGCAATGTAAGTGCTCCCCTCATCACATGGGTCGATGACTATCTGACGGGCAGACCACAGTTTGTGAGATTAAAGAACTGTGTGTCTGACCGTCTGATTAGTAACATCGGGGCCCCCCAGGGAACTGTACTGTCTCCCTTCCTCTTCACCATCTACACTGCAGAATTTAAGTACTGCACTGAGTCGTGTCATCTGCAGAAATTCTCTGATGACACGACTGTCGTTGGGTGTGTTGAGGGTGGGAGGGAGGCTGAGTACAGGGACCTGGTTGATCTCTTTGTGAAGTGGTGTTGGGAGAACCACCTGCAGCTGAACGTGGCAAAGACAAAGGAGATGGTGGTGGATTTTAGGAGGAACAAGCCCCTGCCCTCTCCTGTCAGCATCGGTGGGACCGATGTGGATATGGTGTCGGTGTATAAGTACTCGGGTGTCACAGTGGACAATAAACTGGACTGGTCAGCTAACTCAGAGGCCATCTAAAAGAAGGGCCTGAGCCGGCTTTACTTCCTGAGGAGGCTCAGGTCCTTCAATGTCTGCAACAGGATGCTACAGATGTTCTATCAGTCTGTTGTGGCGAGCACCATCTTCTTTGTTGCGGTGTCCTGGGGTACGGGCATCAAGGCAAAGGACGCCAACAGACTGAACAACTCATTAAGAAGGCCGAGTCTGTTGTTGGCTCTAAGCTTGTCACCCTGGAGGAGGTGGTGGAGGAGAGGATGCTGGCAAAACTGCTCATCATAATATATTATTATTATTATTATTATTATTATTATATATTACAACTATTATTATTATTTTATAACAATATAACAAGATATTATCTATTGTATGTCTGTCTTCTAGTATAGTCAAGTATCTATTATACATACGCTATATATCATATCATATCTTGACTATATATATA